GGCATATCTAGCAGTCAATGAATAGACCCTGAGCCTCCCATGTGTTGGGCCCTGCCTGGTTCTGCGAAAGGCAAGGGAATGAGATGTGGCTCCTGTCCTGTCGTGGTAGAGCTGCTTGGGGAGACGAATCGGCCCTTCAGGAAACAACTTCACACCTTGTAAGATGGTGCTAACCCTGAGAAAGAGGGAGCAAAAGACAGCTGCCAAAAAAAGCTTATTTCTCTGGTTAAGGATGCCCAAAGTGCTTGAATATGTGTTATTAAAATTGCTCAAGCAGCAATGCTGCCTTTGAGGAAAAAGTTTCCAGCATATGTGTGAGTTTGAGCTGCCGGTGGACTGGGAGGGGCTCTGGGAGCCCTGGTTGCCATGGGAACCAGCACTCAGCCGCCAATGCCCCGCCTAGTGGCTGCTGTTCCAAAAGTTGGTTTCTGAGTGGAGGGGGCTGCCTCCAACCTCAGAGCCATTTCCCATGGAAACAACATTCTAAATGATGGTTGACGATCCCACACAGGCTTGCCATGGAGCTGAGATGGCAGCGGGACTTCTCATGGGGGAGCCTGTGAGTGGAGGAAGGGAGATTGTGAGGGAGGGAGTCTCTCCAGGGAACAAAGTAAACAAGACCAAGAGCAAACATTGGAGCACCTTCTCTAAGCTGAACACATTTCATACATTTTAATTTCATGCTTAGAGCAATCCTGCAAAGTATAATTTTCTAACCAATCCCGTCTTACAAAGAGGAAACTGAGGCTGTGAATGTAACTTGCCCAACAGTGTTACCTGGTCCATAGAAGAGTATCCAGCATCGAAAACTGGTGGGGGAACTTTAGAGACCCTTGATCCACCTTATAACACCCTCCCACCTCAAAGGGGCCATCCAGAACCCCCCAAAAGTAAAGAACTGACATTCTAGAATGATCTCTAAAAAGATCTAGAAAGATCTCTGATCTTCTAGTTGAATAGTCTAGAGAGGAGGAGGGTTCTTGTGAATGTAAGCAGTTTGCTCTTTAACTACCAACCAACTTTTTATCCTGTGGTGTCTTTCGTCATAGCCTGTGGTGATTGAAAAATTTTTTTCTCTTTACCACTTGAGTCCAGCCTATTTTGTAGGAGTGTGGTACATTTTGACTGCCCTCCCCACTTACAAAGACATTGTTTAGTCAGGGATTATTTGCGGGGAGGCTGAAAGCCTGGAATAAACATGTCCATCAGGAGAAGAGCCTTTATGAACTGGGGGAGGGGCCAGTTCTGGACCCCTTCTTTTACCCCTGCAACACCTTCTTTCCTTTGTGGGCCCACACTTGCTTCCAGAAGGGCTTTTCTGTGTGACTGGTCTGACTTGGTAGAAGGAGGGAGATGGTCCTAACTGCTGGCTGGGAGGTTTGCCCCTTAACCCTCTCCATGGTCAGGGTCAATGCTATGGCTAGTAGGTGGTCTGGCAGTCGTTCAGAAATGCCTTCAGCTAGCTTTTTTGCCCTTTGCTAATGCTCTGCCCAGCTTTGGTAATAGAGACAGGAGCAAAATGCCATCCCCTGCCCTTCTGTGCACATTAAATATAGACAGTTTCAAGGGCACTGGTGGCCTCTGCACCAGTAACTGCAGGGTGCAGAGTAGAAGGACATGCCTCCCATAGGATGTGGTTACTGGGCCCAGGGCTGACCTGTGAAGAGGGGGCCCTAAGGGTCTGCAGAGGACTCAGTATGACCCCAGGGTACACTGGGCAAACATAAAGCTGGTTGAGAGAGCGAATAGAGTGTGAGAGGCTGTGGTATAGCCACTACTAGAGAGGTCAGCATTGGTGACCCGTGACAGCCTTGAATGTCCAGTGAAGGAGCCGGGACTTGGCCCATCAGCCTTGGGCAGCACTAAAGGGCTTTTTACTGCGAGGGATCTGGTCCAATTTTTGTGCTGACTGTGCTTTCTAACCTGCTTCCATTGAGTCTTAGTTGGGAGGGAGCCCCGAGTTGGCTGCCTGTGGTCTCTCAGGAGCTCAACCCCTGAGTGCAGAACTCTCTGAAAGGAAGGAACCCCTCATTTGACCATTTCCTGCCAGCTGCCTTGTTTGACAAGCAGGTCCCAGGTGGCTCTGCTGTGGGTGGTCTGTACCAATTCAGAGATTCAGTTCATGTCCTCTATCATATTTACTAGTGAAGATTTCTTACCTTGTTTTATTTTGAGAAGAAAATCAAGAGAAATGATTTCCCTTCTTGATATCTTCCCACCCAATGAGTATTTTTTTATTCATGTCACTGCCAGCAGAGAATGGAAGGGAGCTTTAAAAACAGCCTCTTTCGGGGTGCCTGGGTGGCTCAGTGGGTTAAAGCCTCTGCCTTCGGCTCAGGTCATGATCCCAGAGTCCTGGGATCAAGCCCCGCATCGGGCTCTCTGCTCTGCAGGGAGCCTGCTTCCTCCCCTCTCTCTCTGCCTGCCTCTCTGTCTACTTGTGATCTCTGTCAAATAAATAAATAAAATCTTAAAAAATATATATTAAAAAAAAACAACAACAACAGCCTCTTTCACAGGCAAATATGCTCACCCTGGCCCGGTGTCACTGTCCACCCTCAGCCAAGATGGCGGGTAAGGAGAGACTGACACTTTGCTCCCCTGACCTGAGAGGCGGAAAGAGGGAGTTGGACCTTGCTTTCCTCTCCCTGTTTCTGTTTCCTTCCAGCTGCCCTGTGGCCCCTTTGGACCTCCATCTCTTGTCATGTGGGAAAGCTCAGTTGCCAAAGCCTCAACTTGTCCCCACCTTTACCCTACTTAGGGAGACTGGGCACCAGATGCTGGGGCTGCAGCCGGCCCCTGGGCCTAGTTTCTTGCACTTACGGAGCTCAAATCCTCACCTGAAGGACATGGAGTCCTACGTTTTCAGGTAGCCAGAACATTCATTTGGTGGGAACATTAATTTATTTTTTTACTTGAAGATAGTTGACACACAATGTTATATTAGTTTCAGGGGTACAACATAGTGATTCATCAAATCTATGCTTAGCTCACCACAAATGTAGCCATCTGTCACCATGCAGTGCTGTTACAGTACCATTGCCTATGTTCCCTGTGCTGTGCCTTTTATTCCCATTCCTGGGAATATTTTAATATTGTTAAACTTTCCCGGGATACATATACAATATTAGCTTACTGTAGCAGGTGTTGAGAAAAATTGAGAGAGTGCCCCCAAATCTGCCAGTCCTCTCTGTGCCTAGAACCACATCTAGACATACAGATTCATTCATGGAAATGCAATCATACGTACTTGTGGTTTCACAGCCTGTTTTGGGGCTCTTTTCATGCATAATATATTAATGTTCCTAGGTCAGGGACTATCATCCTTTATAATGGCTGCACAGTATTGCATTGTGTAGATAAATTTTTCTTTAACCACCCCCCCAACATTTAAGTGATTTCCATTTTCCCCCATTCTTCACATCTTTGTACACTTGTCTGATTATTTCCTAGAATAAATCATCATATACCCTACAGCTTCAAGTGAGAGTATGTCATTTTAAATTTTGGTATATTTATGCGAGTGTATTCTCAGTCCGGTCAGGACAGATTTACATGCTCATCCGCAGTGTATAAAAGCGCCTATACTTCCTCGCACTGCAGGGAAATCCTAAATGTCAACATCAAGCTTCAGTAACTACAGAGCGTTTTGCAATGCCTCTCTCCCGTAACCTCATGCAAATCAGCATGGCCACATATCCCACATTTGTGTCTAACACCCTTTTGTTGCTATCTAGAACTGAGGACTCTTTTAGGGCTGCACATAACTGAAAAATCCAGCCCTTTCATCTGATGGGTCAGGAAAGCATGGCTTGGTGCAGCCTTCCCAAGCAGCAGCGAAGCACGTGGGACACCCAGTCTGCACCCTTAAGTGTCCCCATCATGCCTACGCCATGCCTGTCTGCCTCCCGGATTGTGCAGAGCTTTTTCTTTCCTGGTACCGTGAGGCAGGATCCAGCTTGCACGCCCTTGGCATGAGGTCAGTGCTCCTGCTACCCAGGAGGAGGCATTGTTCTCCCTGGCACCCTGGCAGGGTCCACAGTTAGTAGCCCAGGTCCCTGGGCCAAGCGCTCCTTCCACACTCCCTGCCTCCCTCCCCTCCTTGTCACTTCATGATGCTGCTTCCAAAGATCACTCTTCCCTTCTCTACTGTTACCTCTTCATAACCAGTCATTATCTATTCGGGCTCAATTATTCTTTAGAATCCTGGCCCCACATTTCTGTCTCCTTGCCTAGTTACCTTAACTCGTTGACATCTTAGGATGGACAAGTCTTTGTTTTGGGGGATGCTCTATGCTTCATAGGCTGTGGAACCACAGCCTTGGCCCGTTGACTGGATGCCAGTAACACCCACTCGGTTTTAACAACCAGAATCATCTCCAGATGTTGCAGATGTTCCTGAGGGGCAGAATTGCCCCCAGTTGAGAACCACTGCCTTAGCAGGACTCAGCATCATTAAAACAAAACTTAGCCCTGCTCCTCCTCTTCCTCCTGCCCAGCTAACACAGGGGTTTTGACCAGTTGTCAAGAGATTCCAGCACAACTGTCTGAATGACAAAGGGCAAGGAGACTGAGGGAGAGGAGCCACAATCACTAAATACTGAGGGGCTGGGGCACAGAGATCCTGAACTCCTCCTATTAGCAAGGCTGTTATGGCCAACCTTCCCTTAGCTCAGGCAACCTCAAATCCTTCTGAGCACAGCAGTCCCCTGACCAGAGTTGATGTAAAAGGTGCCATCCCTGCTCAGATTAGCACCCACATGGTTACCTGTACAGAATAGGGCAGACTTCAATGGTGGAAATGCTTCTTTGATATGGCTTTGGCTGTGCTTGTTAAAGACTTCAGGGCATCTAGTAGTATGTGTCCCCAAGACCAGGTATGGCACATGGTTGGTATTCAATAAATGATTGAATCAATATACAATTGGGAGTATTTGGTACTTTCTGAGGTCAGGAAGGAAAAAGGCCCAGGCCTCATTATGCATGTCTTGCTTCCCCAGGTCTGACCTACTAGAAACATGGCAACCAGTGCCGTCCCCAGTGACAACCTCCCCACGTACAAGCTGGTGGTGGTGGGAGATGGGGGTGTGGGCAAGAGTGCCCTCACCATCCAGTTTTTCCAGAAGATCTTTGTGCCTGACTACGACCCCACCATTGAAGACTCCTACCTGAAACACACAGAGATTGACAATCAGTGGGCCATCCTGGATGGTGAGACCCCGATGGCAGCCCTGCATGGGGCGAGAGGTGGCTTGGGGAGGAGGCAGAGGGTCAGGGGAAGGTGATGAGCTTCACTGGGGCCAGATGGCTTCTCTCATGTTGTCGTTGTGACATGGTTGGTATAAGGCCGTGTATGTTTTCCAGGGTGAATTCTGAACAGCTTGTGGAAACCAAAATGTGTATTCAACAAAGAGGCAAAGCTAGCCTCATGCCAGCTCAGTGATGTCATGTTTGTTATTGCTTGCTGATCAGAAGCGCTGATTAGCATTTACAGATGTCTCCGGCTAATAAAAAAAAGCCGGGGGGGGGGTATAAATTATTCTTTAGTGAGTATAGTTTATTTTTGCTTGGAGGGAAAATCTTGCATCTCACTTTGTTTCTAGTTTAGTCTAAGTTGGTTTAGATGAACAGTTCTCCAGTTGTGGTATCCAGGCCAGCACCTAAGTATTACCGGGGAGCTTATCAGAAATGAAAACCCCCTGGGCTCTGCTAATTCAGAAGCTCAGAATGTGGAGGCCAGCAGTCTGTATTTTAACAAGCTCTCCAGGTGATGCCGAAGTAGAGAACCGCTGCTCCAGATCCTCACTCTCTGAGTCTCTTAAACAGAGCAGTTCAGGATAGACCGTCATTGTAGGAGAGGAGCTTGGAAAGCCACTGGGATACAAGTCCGCTGTCAGCTATGTGATTCGCAGGTGTTTGCTTCCAGTGTGGGGCCATGTTTTTCATTCTCTTAACAGTGTCTTTCAAAGACTAGAGTTTTTACTTTTGAGGAGGTCCCGTTTATCAGTTTGTTCTTTTATGGACTGTGCTTTTGGTGTCGTGTCTAAAATATTTGCCCAACCCAAGGTCACAAAGTTTTTCCCCTGTGTTTTCTTCTAGCTGTCTAATGGCTTTAGGCTTTGTATTTGGTTTATGATCCACCCTGAGTTAATTTTTGTATGTAGTGTGAGATATGGCACAAGGTTTAGTTTAGTTTTGTTTTGTTTGGTTGTTTGTATATGGAGATGCAATTGTTCCAGCACTATTTGTTGAAAAGGTTGTCCTTTCTCCACTGAATTGCCTTTGTTCCTTTGATGAAAATTAGTTGCTCATATATTCTGTTTGATCTGACTCTCTTAGCATCAATACCACATTGTCTTGATAACTGTAGCCTTATAATAAGTCCTAAATGCACATCCTATTAAATTCCTAATTTTGTTCTTTTTCAATGTTGCTTTGGCCCATCTGGGTCCTTTGCATTTCCATATGAATTTTAGAATGAGTTAAATTCAAAAATTTTAGATTTTAGACTGAGATTGTGTTAAATCTATATAGATTTATAGATTTGAGAAGAATTGACATCCTAACAATGTTGAGCCCTCCAACCCATGAATACAGTATTTCTCCATATTTTTAGGTCTTCTCTAATTCTCTCATCAGTTGTTCTTGCAGATTTGCCTGCGTAGGTCTCTATGTATTTTGTCAGATTTATATATACAGTCGGTATTACAAATGATATTGGTTTTTCATTTTAGTTTTTTTTAAGATTTTATTTATTTATTTGACAGAGACACAGTGAGAGAGGGTATACAAGCAGAGGGAGTGGGAGAGAGAGAAGCAGGCATCCCACAGAGCAGGGAGCCCAATGTGGGGCTCGATCCCAGGACCCGGGGATCATGACCTGAGCCAAAGGCAGATGCTTAACAACTGAGCCATCTGGGAGCCCCTTCATTTCAGTTTGGAATTGTTTTTTGCTGATATGTAGAAATACAGGAGCATTTTGTATGTTAACTGTAACTTGCAACCTTACTAAACTCACTTATTCTAGTGGATCTTGTAGATTCCTTTGGATTTTCTGCAAAGATGGTCATGTCTGTGAGTAAAGATAGTTTTACTTCTTTTCGATCTGGATGGCTTATGATTCTTTTTCTTGCCTTATTTCACTGACTAAAAACATACTTGTCTTGCTCTTGATCTTAAGGGGATCTTTCCTTTTCAGTCTTTCAGCACTAAGTATGATGTTAGCTGTAGGTTTTTTATACATTCCCTTTATCAGGTTGGGGAAGTTCCTTTCTATTTCTAGTTTGCTGAGAATTTTTATGAGGTGTAGATGTTGGCTTTTGTCAAATGCTTCTTGTGTGTCTGCTGACATACTCAGATGGGTGTTTCTTTTTTAGTATGTCAATATGGAAAATCACATTAATTTTTCTAATGTTAAACCAACATTGTATCCCTGGGATAAATCCCACCTGGCCATAATGTATTACCCTTTTACATATTGTTGGCTTTTATTCGTTAAAATTTTGTTTAGAATTTTTGCATCTATGTTCTTGAGAGTTGTCTTGGTCTGTAGTTTTCTTGTTATGTCTGAGTAATATTGGCTTTATAGAATGAATTGAGAAGTATGCTCTCTTCTTCAGTTTTCTGGAAGAGTTTGAAATAAAATTGGTACTATTTCTTTCTTAAATGTTTAGTAGAATTCACCTATGAGGACATCTGAGGTTGGAGTTTTCTTTGTCAGAAGATTTTTACCTTCAAATTCAATTCCTTTAATAAATCTATGGCCATTCAGGTTGTCTGTTTCTTTTTCAGTGAGTTTTGGTAGTTTGTATCTTTCAAAAAGTTGTTCAGTTCATCAAAGTTACCAAATTTACTGACATAAAGTTGTTCATGATATTCTCTTATTATTTTCTTTTTTTAAAAATTTTTATTTATTTTTATTTGACAGACAGAGATCACAAGTAGGCAGAGATGCAGGCAGAGAGAGAGAGAGGAAGAAGCAGGCTCCCTGCCGAGCAGAAAGCCTGACGTGGGACTCGATCCCAGGACCCTGAGATCATGACCTAAGCTGAAGGCAGAGGCTTAACCCACTGAGCAACCCAGGCGCCCCTCTTATTATTTTCTTAATAACAGTAGAGTTCATAGTGATGTTGCCTTTCTTATTCCTGATATTGTTAATTTTTGTGTTCCCCTTTTCACTAATCAGGCAAGCTAGAGATGAAGCAACATCATTGATTTTCACAAGAAAACCAGCTCTTGAGTCCTTTGACTTTTCCCATTTGGTTTCATTGATTTCTACTCTTACCTGCATTATTTCCTTTTGTCTGTCTATTTTGGAATTAATTTGTTCTTCTCTAACTTTTTAAAATGGAAGCTGAGGTCATTGACTGGAACATTTCTTCTTTTCCAAGATATTCATTTGGTGCTAAATTCCCCCAACTACTTCTTTAGCAGCATTCAAGCTATTCTAATACACTATGTCTTCATTTCCATTCAGTTCAAAATACTTTCTAATTTCCCTTTTGAGATCATCTTTGACCCATAGGTTATTTGGAAACATTTAGTATTCAAATATATTTAGGAATTTTCCAGAGATCCTTCTGTCTTGGTTTCTATTTTATTTTCATTATGTCAGAGAACATACAGTATGTTATTTAAGTTATTTAAAACTCATTGAGTCTTGTTTTATGACCCAGGATTTGGTCTCTCTGGCTAGATGTTCCATGTGCACACAAAAAGAATGGGTATTCGGCCATTGTTGGGTGGAATGTTTTATGAATGTCTGTTATTTTGTCTGATTTTTGGTTGTTTCAGGCGAGAAGACAGATCTGGTCCTTGTTACTCTATCCTGGTCAGAACCAGTACCAAATCATCACTTCAAAAAAAAAAAATGCGACAACTTTATATGTTTACTTTAAAAGGGTGGATATTGTGGTATTTTCATTATATCTTAATTTTTTTAAAAGATTTTATTTATTTGACACAGAGACAGAGATCACAAGTAGGCAGAGAGGCAGGCAGAGAGAGAGGGGGAAACAGGCTCCCTGCCAAGCAGAGAGCCCAATGCGGTGCTCGATCTCAGGACCCTGAGACCATGACCGGAGCTGAAGGCAGAGGCTTAAACCTCTGAGCCACCCATGTGCCCTATATCTTAAATTTTAAAAGCACCATTCTTCAGGGGGTTCGTCTGCAGCCCTGAAACTTTGACTAGTTCTCCAGGAACCAAGCACACTCCCACCTCAGGGGTTTGCATTTGGTATTCTCTCTGCCTAGAATGTGCTTCCTTCAGAAATATATTCTCACTTCGTGTAGGTCTCCACCCAAATGTTAACTTTATCAAGGAGGTCTTCCCTGACCAGACCATCTCTACTAGTACCCAAACCCCCCACCCCCAACATTTTGTCCCTCTGCACAACTTTTTCTTTATTCTACCTTTTACTGTTGAACATATATTTATATTTGTTCAATATATTTATTTGAGGTTTTGTTGCTCCCCAATAAAATATAAGTTTTTGAGAGTAGGAACTTAATTTTATTTACTGCTCTATTCTCAGTGTCTAGAACACTGGACCTCAGTAAATGGGTGGGAAATGAATGAATGAATGAATGAGTCCTGGACAATGTATGTGCAGTCATAGGTTTGATGTGCTAGTTGCATTATAAAATAAATATATATAACCACTAAAATATAAAACTTATATTTATGCACTTTCTAAAATCATCTCATACATTACCCATTCAAATATATACCACACTTTGGGATATACTGAGTTAAAGAGATATAAACAGTTTCTTTATTGTTGGACTTCAAAGAATCGTCCATATACAAACATAATATTGGAGATATATTGGTGGGTATATTGTCCTTAGGGTTTCCCAAAGGACTACGTTTTGCACATGATTCTGGGCTATTTCCACAGAAAATATTCTGGAACACATTGCCTAATGCATGTAGGAGAGAGTAATACCATGCCTGGTACATTGTTGAAGCTCAGTAAATGTTATTTCTCTATACAGCCATATTGACTTCTCTTTTTCTTTTAAAATTTTTTTTTAATTTTAATTTTTTTATTAACATATAATATATTATTTGCCCCAGGGGTACAGGTCTGTGAATCATTCAGGCTTACACACTTCATAGCACTCACCATAGCACATACCCTCTCCAGTGTCCGTAACCCAACCACCCTCTCCATACCCGCCTCCCCCCAGCAACCAACCCTTAGTTTGTT